GTCATGTTAACTAATTCTAATTTACCAAAAGCACAAAAAAACAATATCTGGAAGGTGTAACTGGGCAACTTGAAATCAGAAATTAGCCATACCTTTTACCCAAGAAAATAATTAACCAAGACATTAATGATAGAGACTATGTAAAATTTGCTGATTCTTTCTACCTTGATGTATTGAAGCCAAGACTTGAATGCCTTTTTGGCAAGGATTCTTTATCCAAACATAAACACTGCTGGGCTTGGTAAAGGGTACTGCATAAAGTGCAATTGCTTGTGATGTATGGGCCATCAAGCCAGATGAGCTAATGGTCCCTTGTGGCACTCTGCTTTATAAATCTATTAACTAGAATTTGAGATTTGTAGAGTAGTGGGCCAGAGGAACAACTGTGATTGAGGTTGTACAACCAGTTCCCGTGGACTCTATCATATTCCTTTTGAAATTGTTGGCAAAAATCCCACGGTATGAGCAATACTTGCCACTAATCACAAAGGGAAAAGGCTTTTATAAATGCAAGTGAGAAGGCTGAAGGGGTGAAACAGCATTTGTTAGTTGTTACATCTAGAAATACTTAGGAATCTATTTCTTTGTTAGCATTTAGAGAATACAGTCTCAAATGGCAGTTGCCCGGACATAAACAGAGACCTTCAACCAACCATTGTGAAATAACAAGAAATATTCTAATCACTGCATAAGACTGAGCTTTGACAAGTTTAAACCTACTTTTCATTTTCTGTATAATTTCTAACAAAACCAAATAACATGAAGTTTAACCTTTCTCTTGCTACCTTACAGAACATTTTATTTGGAAAGCTTAACCTAATCAAAGGGAAATCACTCTCAGGAAGCAGAACTCCATCACTGACCCATCAATTACCCTCATTGTAAAATATATATTTTTAAAATGTCCTAACATCTCCTTTAATGCCAACTCTTAGAAAGAATTTGCCTGTAAACTTCAATTTTCCTTTAGTGCTTAAAATGCAGCAGACATAAAGAAATAGCCTACAGGCTTGTTCACCTGCAAAAAACCTGAAGAAAATTGGACTTTATTATAGACAGAGACATAGTAGACAGAGCAAAATCCAGGTCCTAGACGTTTAGCGCTCTCATGTGAGTATCATCATACATGATGGAATATCACTGTTTAATATGCTTCAAAATGCTGACTGTGTGTTCTCTTTGCTGACCCACCTCTACCAGTTCCATGAATAATGGCAGCCCTACCACTAATCCCCTATTATGTTCCCAAAGTCTGTTTTGTGCCCTGGGTACTTCAAAAATTGGCCTCTTCTAGATGGCCAAGAAAAGCAGGTGACAGATCTCAGCAGGATGGAGAAATAGTCCCATATGGATATAGAAGAAATAAAGATGGCTAGGAAACATAGGGAAATAAACCGATACGCAGAGGTAGAAGAACATCTAGGGATTGAATGCAAAGCACCTTCAACTTGGTTCAAAAATGGGTGTTAATACTGATAGGTGCTTCTTGTTGCAGTAGTTGAATGAGGCAGTTCCTTTGGGAGCTTCCCATATTATAACCCATGAACACATAATACTGTGGGCACAGAGCTTTCCAGACCTGGCATCCTTCAGAGGCGCACAGCAATCAACAGCTCCAGCTGTTATACCACATTCTTCCCACTTTTTCCTCTCCATCAATGTTTGGTCTCTGCCACATTCCCAAACTGCTGGCAGAGAAATAAGCTGTAGTTACAAATGTGCTGACTAGCCATTGCAATTGGACTGCAGTAGCATAGACAATATGGATAAGTGCAGAGTTCCTACTTTTTTGGAAAGGAGAGATGGTGGGGTGGAGGGGAATTATTGTCAACTTTTTTTCTCTATCCAGCCACCAGACTTCAGCGTTTGTAGACATCTTGCCCATCATAGGCATCTTGCTCCACTCCTGGCAACATTCAAAACAGGTTGGATGGGGCTCTGAGCAACCTGGTCTAATGAAAGGTGGCAGGAAGGCTGGGACAAGATGATCTTTAAAGTTTCTTCCAACACTATAAACATTCTATGATTCTATGATCCTCAACACATCAACACTTAGAGCAGATCTAGAAAAAATTAATCAACAGGAGGGAAATGTGGGTGTGGGAGGGAGGAGGAAATGACCGACAAATAAAGGCAGATGACAAGTGCCCTTCAATGCAAGACAACACATTCTTCCTGCAAGTAACCCTGTGTGCCACAGCCTTTTCCACAAAATTCCTGGCTCTCATTCTCTAAAGAAAGGAGAGGTTTATCCCAAGCTCTGAGTTTTAATTCACTATCTAGCTGTGTAAAAATACCACTATTGTACCAGCAGTCCTTTAGCTTTGTCTTGAATTTTCAAGGCCTCAGGACAGAACTTTGTCTCTTTTGCCATCCAAAATTTTCTTGGCTTGCCTGCAGCTTTACTTTAATTTGGTTTAGCTGACACAGCTATTTAATTGGCCAGGTTGCTCATGGCTGGTTTGTTTTACTTAGGTTTATCTTCATGTAGTACAGCTATAGTTTTAGACAGAGATAATTAACAAGCAAATAGTCCATCTGGAATGAGATATTTATGGCTCTAATGCAGGGATGTGGTATAGAGTTATACAAGCCTGGAACAACATCAGAGACTTTTAGAGAGGGAGACACAAGATATTGCATGCAGGATTACAGTCAAAGAGTGATAAGAAATGGGGCACAGCCCAGCACTGGAGACTTCATCACCATAAATAACTCATTCATGGTCAATTAAAGGAAATACTGGATAAACATGGGTTTATAAAAAACAAAGGAACAATATCTATCATACAAAAAGAACATCAAATATAGACCACGTAGATGCAACCTGGAGCTGCAGGCTAATGAAGAATGAGCAAAGGCATTAAAGTGTGTTAGAAAACACAAAAACACCACAAACGTACCCTAAGAGGAGTAAGAAGAAACCATCAAAATCATATTCCTCACAACAAAACCATTCCAGATGCTAATGATTTGTCATAAAATCTAGCACTTCTCAGCACCCCAATCAGACTGAAACAACAAACACTAGGGCCCATGGAAGAGTGAGTACAACACCAGGAAAAGGGGTAGAAACTAAAAAGTGTGAGCATAACTATTGGAACTTGTTATATTTTACAAAACAGTTACATCCAGCCTAATAATGATTAGACTTTTATGATTTCAGTTATACTAGCAATGTCTTTACTTACATTCCTCATGTGCTTGCTTCTGACCATTATACAAGATTTTGAGCATAATAACCCAAACATTAAATATTGCTCTTCAGTCCCTTCCTTTGGGAGGAAACAGATATTAGGAATCTGCATCATCTGTTGTAGAGGCTCACTGAGGCTACAGGATTGAGCCCACCTAATTGGTGGACAGGGTCATCTGAGGTATCCTTACTGTTATAAGGAGAAGATTTAAGACTGGCTAGATTAGTCACATTAATTATTTCAACATTAGTACTCAGTTACAAATGGCTTTTGCCTTTTATGATTATGATTTATCCCTTCACACACAGAATCCTGACCAGAAAGGACTAATGGAACATCTCTGTACAAAGAAAAGCAAGGTATCCATCTCATTTTCCCACCCCTGACAAAGGCTGTTTTTCCAAGCTCTCACAAGGATTCAGAATGGCTCATTAGCCCCAAAGATGACAGCAACAGGGAGAGAAGTCTCAGTTCATTGCCTCTCCTCTGAAGTTATCAGAATTTCTATACATTCAGCATGGGACTAGAAACTAATAAAGGCAGAAACCATCTTTATGATTAGGGGTATTGACTGTGTTTGTCTAATTGCCTTGCTACAAATTCAAAATAGTCCATTATAGGGTCTCTGTGGAAATTATTGTACAAGTTAAAATACAGATAATTCATTTCTGTACATTTCCATTATATAGACTTTCATTTGTGGGGCAGAGAGGAAGGTTAAAAACATACGTTTTTAAAAAATAGTCTCTTCTTCCTCTACAGAACTAGCCCCAAAGCCTAGTTTTTATATAGATATTACAGTGCTGTAAAAATTAACAAAAAAAAATGGTCTTCCTATTTAACCAAAGCTTTTTACATTTCTAAATTCTGTCTCTCATCCACTGCCATAAATAAAACAGTTGCTATGGCACAATGTGAAACCAAACAGCTCTTTCTCTAGGCCAAGGAGAACAGCCTACCGCCCCAAGTGTAGCATCTTGTCTTTCAAAGCCAAGTGAAAATAAAGGGAGTTTCACTTCTAAGCTTTGAATTCCCCTGTGAAAACCTGAATAGAAATACATGCAACGCATACCATCTACCACTGGCTGGCAAAGATGCAAAAGCATTTTTCTAGGCCTGTAGGTTATTAAGACAACCCACTCATAAAAACTTCTATCAGTAAATGAGTCACTAAATCTCAACCAGGAGATGAATAACCATTTTAGGGAAGTAACTGTGACCTCAAGAGGCTCTTACTTACTTTGCAGCATAGATGAACTGGGAATTTGAAGAAACAGTGCTACCACCTTCAGCAGAAAAACCTCCAAGCAATGCACAAACATGACAGGATGAAGTCCCACAGTGCAATCATTAAATGCAATTCGCCTCCTATGGCACACTGGAAAATCACACACAACAGCCACATGTCCTGCTGAGGGATCAAAACAAGTCAGCAAGGGCTCTGAGAACTGACCTAGGAATTACAGGCTCCTGCTCCAGCCATTACATATTAGCAACAAAGGAGGATGAAAGTTTCAGAGTTACCCTATGGACACAAATATAGCAGAAGGGAACTTTTCCTGCTAGCATCATCAGGTAGGCACAGGTGTAATCACTACATACAGACCCCCTCTACTTTCCAGTCAGGGCTTTTCACCTGGAAAAGCTTCAACACATGCAATTAAGCTGAAAGCATTCATCCATCTACAGTACCACTTCCTCAGGCTTGTGACTACAGGTATTCTTCTTTCAGAAGAAATACTTCCAGTGTCTGCCAGACAAGCATTAATGCACAAAAATTATACCCTTTTTTTTTTTTTTTTCTGAAAGAAGTTTTAATAATAAATGTTCAATTTTTAAAAATTACATTTTAAGTCAAACATCATTATTTTTTTTTTTTACAAACTCTTGGAGATCAGGGTTTTAACAACATATAGTATTTCTTCATTCAAGATGGAACAGCCTATAGATAAAATTGTGACTTGCACTACTGTGTATTCAAGACTGCAAGTTCATAAAACTACAAACAGAATTATTTCTTCAATAAAGTGGAAAATCACAAATTGCATGGAACATTAGGCTCCTGTATGCCACCACACCAGTCCCTTAAAAGTGAGAAATGTGGCTTCGATGTCTTCACAGTAATTCATGGGCTACACTGTCTCAAATTTTCACTCCAAAAGAAATACGCAGCTTAAAAGAATTTAGGACTGGGAAAGCTGATACACATGCTGAGTGATTCCCTAAAAAACATGGCCTACTAAGAGAGAAGTGATGACTTAGAGAAGTTAGAACCGACTTCTCGAAGGACGTCCATTTGGTACTCTGTCACACGTTAGCTGCATTGTATCAATATCTGTTTCTATACAGCTCCACGATTCAAATTAATAATGTTCAAGATTTTCTCCCACTTCATGATGGGTTTTTCCTGCTGGTGATGCTTTTAAATTAGGTTTCAGGACCTTTTCCAAAAGCCCACAGGTTTTTCCTCAAGTGGAAGACATTCAGGGACACAAATATACAAGCTGGTCTTCACGTCCACATTCTTTATAGCAAAAGTATTGAGTTCTCCTGGACATCAAAATGTGCCACGGTGCAAGTGATGCGTCTGCAGTGGTCAGTAATGGTCCTAGGGTGCAGGCTGATAGCTGAAGTTGAACTCTGAAAAATACCAGAATAGAAGAACCTGTCAAATAATTAATATGGTAAGGGTCATTCAAAATTAAGCATATTTTATTACCTTATATAAATAAAGCCATTCATTAGGAATTCAACATACTAAAAACACTAAATAGGGACCTTGTCAAACTCATGCACAGTCTGTACTTATTCCTGGCCACTAAACTTCAGAAGGTACTGAGATGACCTTGCCTGGTGCTATTGTGACCCTCTGTTATCCCATTATCTGCAATAGGATTTCAGCGAGAATTTAATAATTCCTTTTTTAAACAGTTGTATTGACTTAGGCAGCCAAAGAACATGAAATGCTTCCTAAGTATTCTTCCTTTTTTGACTTTCTTTAATATTGGTTGGAAACAGCCAGAATCTTACATCCCACCTGCCCAAGAAGCCACAATCCACATGAACTTGGGAAGGCTGTCTCTGGAAAAAAAGAATAAAATTATGTGATGCTTTGCCACAGCCCAATTTGGAATAAAACCATGGCAGTGAAAATGAGAAAGAGAAATGGGAACATAGTAATTCTTCCTGAAAACTGAAGGGGTAAAAGTCTGAGTTTGCTTCAAAGATGACTTCATAGATTTCTTAACCAGTAATCCCTCCTTACTGGCCACATCCAAAACCGCTCAATTAAAATAGGAAAATTGACCAAGCAAATCAATTTTATATTTAAATAGATTAATAATGTTCATTTTCATTAAATGAAAACTTTTGCCATTTTAAACCAGCTCTTATGAGAAGCAGATCTTTCATCCTTCTCCCTCCTTTTCAGGCCTCCAGCAATCATTTGGAAAGCCATACACCATTTCCTGCATATTCCCCTGTAACCAGTAGACCTTGAAATCAGTGGCATCAACAAAATAGAGAACACCCTTACTTTTTGTTGTTGATTGTGGAAGTTCTTCCCATTTAGAATATTCATTTCTCATCCTCACTTAAAGAGCAAGGTTCTAACAGTTACTGCCAAGCCCCCAAGGCCACATGAAAGCCCATTTGGCAATCTCAGGAATGGGACTGGACTAAGCCCTGGGAAGCTCCTGCAAGGCTGTGAGAGAAAAGGATGGCAGCCATTACTTTCTCCCATTCTACTTGCACCTCCTTTAGTGGAGGAGAAGGATTACAATCTCATCTTTTCTCGGCCTCCTAAATGAAGTTTGGTTTTACAAGTCAGCCAGTTGAGGTATCTGCATGGCACTTGTGCCATGGGAAAAGGGTGTTTCTGCCTAAGACAAGCAAATATATTGATGGAGGAAGAAACACATATTATCTGTCTCAGCCTGTAAGAATTTAAGCACCCAGCTCTGAAAGTGAGTGTATTTGACCCAAGATGAATGAAAGTTCTGTGCAGTGTAACTTCACACACCTGTAGCCATCCCATCCTGCACACTCAACACCTGCTCTGCAAACCTGACAAATCATAGAAAGATAGAGGAGATTGGGTGACACCAACATGGCTGGCTTTTGGAAAACCATCAAACCAACCTGTTGGAAAACACCCTTTTTTTCCCAGGACTACAGCCAGACACACAACATATACAGGCATCTTACTCCAGAACAACTCTTCTAAGCAGAGCTTCTCACAAAACCACGAGAACAAAGAGAGACCTCTGCTGCTCCTGTGATATATGTGGAGAAAACTTGGCCAAATTAACAAAGAGTTTTACAATAACATCATTAACACTCTGTTACTGACAAATTGATCAGCATTGAGCACCCTCAGAAATGCCATTAACACAATCAATGTCAATGACAAAAAAAACCCAAGACAGAACCACAAATAAAATACCTAAGCTGCCAAATTCACACCACAGTACCTTCCAGAGGAAAGAGTAACAAATGTAAGTTAAAAGGAGACTTTTCTAAGAATTTATCATTCTACTAAGAATGCCAAGAATTGGATTAAAGGTATAAAAGACCATCAAACAGGTGAGACAAAGCAAGATTTTTTTCTTATTCATACTACGCTGAATAAGAAGTATTCTTGAGCAACAGCTCAGGATCAAGCACTAGCAACAGAAAAGTAGGGGTTTTCTCAGGCAACTTTTTTTGCATCTCTTTCAAATAGTAATAGGGTCCTAAAACACTTCACCTCATTTGCTCCCATCTCTGGGTTTCTCATTATCCAGCTGTTCTCACCCTGTGATACAAATGTACTTTCTCAGTACTCTAAGAATCCAGAACAAATTTACTACTAATCTTGTTTTGCCATAAAATATATCAGACAGTAAGTGGGTTAAGTTTCCATATTCTGCCTTACTGATGTCTCTCAGCATTGATTAACAGGAAAAGATTTGAAACAGCAGATCACATTATAATACAATTTAATCTTTTGTTTCTCTACCTGCATTGCCCAATTATTGCCAGTTTGGATTGAGTGGTGTGGACATAAAACCACTAAAAATTACAAATCAGCCACTAGAAAACCACCATAAGGCAGTGTCTTTGATCAGTGGTCATGAGATCATGAGTTTTCTAAAGTGTCCATGACACTTTTGCCAATCATCCCTGAAGAAATATATCCCACCTTCTCTCTCCTCTTCAGTGAAAAAGGAAGATTTAAACTTAGCCTATAAACCCTCTCACTGTTCCACTAAGTGTTCAAGAATTGTAGCAAGACGCCAGGAAGCATATAATAAGAGACAAAATGAAAGAATATGATTTCCTGGAGCAGATTTTTCTAATTCTATAAAGATTAATATTCCACAGATGTCACCTAAGTGGGATGTACCACTGCCTCTTGGAGAATTGCATTTGAATTCACTAATTTTCTCATTTTGCATGGAGAGAGGGAAAAAGGAGACACAGAGTTAACAGCTCTTACTGAATGAATGTAGAATAAAACCACCTAGGAGGTGTGTTTTAAAACAAAGACCTAAGGGAAAAGTATAGTATGCAATATCTATCAGGAAACATCAAAAGAAAGAAAAAGCAAGAGACACTATAGGAAGGAAATAACCCCAAGGCTTTATGTGTGCATGGTCTGGATGATGAGAAACATTGAAAGAGTGATCACACAAGAGCCAATCACAAAATAATCTCACAGCTGTTTGCACTGAACTGTTAATGCAACCTGCTTAGAACAGAGGAAAAAAAGGGACACTGCAAGGCACAAACTAATAAGGGACCAAGGCAAAAAACGTATTTCCAATCTGCTTTCACAAGGGGAGAAAGAAAAGATGAAAAGTTGCAAGAGTGAGAGATGAATGTAAAAAATCTAAGACTTGAAATTTCTGACTTGTGAAGAGACTGCAAGTACAAACACAATTTGATGGCAACACCCTCTGACCCACGCATGCGTTGATAATCACTGCTCTAAGAAGTACAGGTTAACAATTTAGTTTAACCAGGGAGCAAAGAACAATGCAGAGCTCTAGGGAGTGAAAAAATTATTACATATTTTTTTAAATATTATATTCTTGTATTAGTCTGTATTATTCACTAAAGTAAAATATATTTTATTAATCACTGCCAAATTGGTAACTGTAATAGACAGGAGCCAACAGATATATTGGACATCAATTATTCTTTATAAGTCACAAATAATGAAAACCAGGGATTCTTACTGGGGAAAGCTACTAATGCATTATGCCTGAAACAGAGTAGGAGCAGTGAAAGTGGGTTTGTAAGAAGGTTACACAACCACTTTGAGTTTCTGTTTCCTGTTAGAACTAAGAAAATATTTAAGCTGTACTCACTGAATATAATTACAGACACTTTCAAAGATATTTAAATATTTAACTACCTAATCTTCACAATATCTCTATTAAATATATGCTTCTTTGTACCCCAAATTTACACAAGAGAAACATCTTTTATAGCTTATTTTTAAAAGTGGTTTTGTTTCTTTTATGAAATGCTGGAAACTGAAAAAAAAACCCACTGGATAGAGGCCTCTGCAGGTGCAGCTTTGTAGATACAGACACAAATGAGAGGTTTTCTGCTCTTTGATTACTCCTGCCAGTCAAGCCAATATTCACTACAGGCTTCAAAATGTGGAGGCAATTAAGTAAAAGGACAAAACCATATCTGCAAATTTCAGCAGAGGCTCCTTCAAAGTTCAGCACAGAGAAGAAGGGCCCTGCTCACAACTGCACACCTGGCTGTGCCAAGAGCAGAATCTGCAAGCTCTTGGCACTTCAGCTCCAGCTGAATCTATTGATGGATGCTGCTTTTCTGAGCCAAATTTCCAAGGCAGAGGGAATGAAAGGAAGGCAACAGGCTTATTTTAAACTTGACATTTCAGCAGAGCAGATCTATAAAATAATTGGAAAGACTTGCAACAAGCATATAATATTTATCCATACATTTTGACCAAAGGATTGCTGGTTGATCTAACATTACACTGAGAAGCAAAAAGACTATAGAAACAGTACAGCCAGATTAATGAACTTGGATGTTCCTAGGACATACTATTTTTTCATAGAAGAGCTGAAAGATGTCACCTGTACCTTAATTGAATTTTTAGACGTTCCCAAATGAAGAGCAGCTACCAGACAGTGAGAGAGAACAAAATGAGAAAATGAGGCTTCTGCTTAATTGTATTTTGTGTTCTACATGGGCATCTGATAAAAGAAGCTGAACCTAAAGCAAGATAACACATAATCATGATTGTTTTAATTAAAAATAAAGAAATAACCTAGATCCAGAAAGAAATAACCCTAACATTATTTGTTTCATTTTAAGTCACTCCCTAGGACAGTACTATTGTGTGACACAAACACAGAGCAGACACATCACACATGCACCAGAGTCCCCCATACTACTGAAGCAATAACTCTAAAAGTGCAGTATGGTGCAGCCCTTGTGGCAATGGAAATGCTTATATTGATTTTACTGAACTGTGGACAGGACAGGCTCAGCATGATTTAGGATTAAAATTAGTCAACTGGAAAGAAGCAAAAGCCAGGCAGTAATACTCATGTAATAATAGTACTCACAGAATAAAGTAATGCATGGTGATTAAGAGTACGGGAATGAGACTT